CAGGGAGCCCGATGCGGGGCTCGATCCCAGGACCCCGGGATCATGACCTGAGCCGAAGGCAGACGCTTAATGACTGAGCCACCCAGGTGCCCCTAATTCTTTTTATATACTCACGATGGCAGCTTTGAAGTCTCGTGTGCTAAACCCACTTTTGGGCCCGCTCAGCTTCTTTTGGCTGCTTTTTTTCCCCTGAGTGTGGGTCATACATCCCTATTTCTTGCAAAATGTCTCATAATTTTTTGCTGAAAATCGGTCATTTTATTTTTTAAATTTTTAAGTATTTTTTTTAGTTTCAGGGGTAGAATTTAGTCATTCATTAGTCTCCTATAACACAGTGCTCATTCCATGAAGTGCCCCCCCTAATGTCCATCACCCAGTTACCCTAATCCACCCCCCTCCCCTCCAGCAACCCTCAGTTTGTTTCTTAGAGTTCAGTGTCTCTTATGGTTTGCCTCCCTGTCTGATTTCTGTTTTTTTTTTCTTAAGATTTTATTTATTTATTTGAGAGAGGGAATGAGATATAGAGCATGAGAGGGGGGAGGGTCAGAGGGAGAAGCAGACGCCCCGCTGAGCAGGGAGCCCCACGTGGGGCTCAATCCAGGGACTCCGGGATCATGACCTGAGCCGAAGGCAGTCGCTTAACCAACTGAGCCACCCAGGCGCCCTCCCTGTCTGATTTCATCTTGTTTTATTTTTCCCTCCCTTCCCCTATGTTCATCTGTTTTGTTTCTTAAATTCCATATATAAGTGAAATCATATGGTATTTGTCTTTCTCTGATTGACTTATTTTGCTCAGCATAATACCCTCTAGTTCCATCCATGTCTTTGCAAATGGCGAGACTTCATTCTTTTTGATGGCTGAGTAATATTCATGATATATGTATTGTGTGTGTGTGTATATATATATATATTCTTCTTTATTCATCTGTCAGTGGACATCTGCGTTCTTTCCATAGTTTGGCTATTGTAGACAGTGCTGCTATAAACATTGGGGGCCGGTGCCCCTTTGAATCACTATGTGTGTATCCTTTGGAGAAATAGTGCAATTTCTGAGTAGTAGGGTAGCTCTATTTTTAACTTTTTGAGGAACCTCCACACTGTTTTCCAGAGTGGCGGTACCAGCTTGCATTCCCACCAACAGTGTAAGAGAGGGTTCCCATTTATCCACATCCTCGCCAACATCTGTTGTTTCCTGATTTAATTTTAGCCATTCTGACTGGTGTGAGGTGGTATCTCATTGTAGCTTTGATTCGTTTCCCTGATGCTGAGTGATTTGAAGCATTTTTTCATGTGTCTGTTGGCCATTTGGATGTCTTCTTTGGAGAAATGGCTGCTCATGTCTCCTGCCCGTTTCTTAGATGATGTAGTATAGTAGTGTAAGATACTGATCCCCGTATAGGATTCTGCAGGGTTCTGCAGAGTAGGTTTCCCACCATCTAGTGAGGCCACTAATGCCTGGGTTCTGTTTTTGTTTCAATTCTCCTTTTTATTTTCAGCCTGGCTTACTAGGAGTTGTCCTTGTGCGTGCATTGCTTAGTGCTCAGCCAGTGATTAGTGAGATGTTGTACTTAAGTACTTGAGCCTTTAAGCTTCTGCCCTCTGCTAGGAGATGTATGTGTGGCTTGGGGAATGCAGCCAAAGTTCAGACAATTTTGAACTCTTCCTGGCTTTTATTTTTTTCCCAGGGCTTTCCTTTGCATCTGTGCTGCTTCCCAGTCATCCAAGGCTGTGTGGCCGGCTCAGGGCCATTGCGGGTCTTGTCTGCATGTGTGTGCAGCCTTCTGGTTGCCCAGGGAATGTATGGAGGGCCCCTCTGGCCCTCTGGTACTCTCATTCCCAAGACCTCTCTCCTGGGCTTCTAGGTTGTCTCTGGTCTGCTCTGGCCCCGAGCAGGACCGTGACTAAAGGCCAGCAGAGTTGTGGGCTTTCTCCATTTATGTCCTCGCAGGTTTACTGTTTTTACTGACCGTGCTGCCAGACAGGAGGGTTTTTCACCCTCTACGCCTAATCAGGTAAGCTCAGTCTGGCAGTGACGATGCTGGTCTTCACGGCCAGTCTGGCTCTGGTGGCTCTGGGGTCTTAGACTGAGCTGGTGGGTAGGAGTAGCTAGCCCCAGGCAGGAAATCCACCCCACACTCCACTGTTTTTACCTGAACCCAGCGGTTTTTTGTGAAGGAATGGTTCTCAACTTCCTTGCTTTTGGTGAATTTCAAATGTTTGGGGGTTTGTGGGTTTTCGGACAATTTTGTCAAATTTTATAGTTGTTTGGGGGTGCAAGAAGATTTCCAGACTTCTTTATTCTGTCATGTTAGAAGTCTCTATCTGTCCGTGTCTTTTTAAGCTGATGGCATTTCCAACTTGACACAGGTGTCTAAGAGTAGATGACGTAACATAGCGTGTTTCATTCAGTGAGGCCGCCGTGTGTGGGACGGGGCAGCGCCGCTCGCTGTGAAGGCGCGGGGAGAACAGGGTTGGTCTCCTGTATCTCCTGTGCTCCATTCTTCTGTTTTTGAGTGGACAGTGGATTAAAATGTTCTCTGGTCATAACTATATAAATCTTGACCTTTTAAAAACTTACTGCAGCTATAATTCTAGATTTAAGTATTTTTTTTTAGGGCGCCTGGGTGGCTCAATTCTTAAGCGTCTGCCTTCGGCTCAGGTCATGATCCCGGGATCCTGGAATCAAGCCCCGCATCGGGCTCCCTGCTCCGCGGGAAGCCTGCTTCTCCCTCTCCCTCTGCCCCTCCCCCTGCTCCTGTGCTCGCTCGCTCGCTCTCTCTCTCACAAAAGTAAATCTTTTTTAATCATAGTGTTTTCAGTTACTGACATATAATTAAGATGATTTAATTCTTTTTTTTTTTTTTAATTTTAGTTTGTTCTTTCAGTTGAAACCAAGACAGAGAGTTGTCCCTAGGTGGCATGAAAAGCCATACGAATGGAATCAGGTGAGTGAGACATAGTGCCGTGGGGACAGCCTGCTGCCAGGAATGACGGGCTTGGCAGGTGCCGAGCAAGGGTTGTGGAGGGTCCCGAGAGAGTAGAAAGGGACAGGCAGTGTGGACGGCTCTTCTGTTCATGGGGTGGCGTCACGGACCAGACAGGCTGTCTCTGGATGCCGTGCTCTCTGTGAGGCCCAGGGCGATGGTCCTGTCACTTTGGATGAAGCAGTGGGAACGTCTGGATGAGCTGTCCCCGCATGTCGGTGCTGGCCCAGTCTGCTCGGGCTCACAGTGCGCCACAGCCGAGATGGCTTAACCGGCAGACAGTTTTCTTCTTCTTCTTCTTCTTCTTCTTCTTCTTCTTCTTCTTCTTCTTCTTCTTTTTTTTTTTTAAAGAATTTATTTATTTGACAGACAGCGAGAGAGGGAACACAAGCAGGGGGAGTGGGAGAGGGAGAAGCAGGCCTCCCGCCGAGCAGGGAGCCCGATGTGGGGCTCGATCCCAGGACCCTGGGATTATGACCCGAGCCGAAGGCAGATGCTCAAAGACTGAGCCACCCAGGCGCCCCCATTTATCTTCTTCTAGTTCCAGTACAGCTGGGCCGGGTTCTGGTGAGAGCCCCCTTCCGAGCTTGGAGACACGCATCCTCATGTGGTGGAGAGAGGTGATCTCTCTCTCATGTATCTTCTGAGAAGGACTCTAAGCCCGTCGTGGGGGCCTCCCCCTTGTAACCTCATGTAACCCCACTCACCTCCCGAAGGTCCCTTCTCCAGACCCCATCACAGTGGGGATTTGAACTTCAGCGTATAGATTTGGGGCGCAGGTCTGTCTATAGCAGTTGTGAAGGGAGGGCAGGGCCCATCTGGGGCGCCTGGACATTTACATTTACATGCAAAGTTATAAAAACTGAATAAAATTTTACTTGAGGGGAAGGAATTAAGGGAGGGGCTTCTAGCTTTAATTCTAGAGCCAAGGGCATCTTTGTAAATAAACCAGCTGCAGTTGAAGTGAGAAGATGCTCCTGGAGGTGCTGTTTTCCCATCCTGAGTCCAAAGGAAACTTTCCTTGTCTTGTGTGCCCCTTGACACCGGTGTCCCTCCTCAGAGCCCTCAGGACCCAACCCTGGAGCCAGCTCCCTGTGTGCACAGAGCTTAGCCCAGGTGACAGGAGGGGCACCAGCCACCTCTCCTGCAGACTCTGTCGGGGTGTTCAAGCTAATAGCAGGACTTAGTTTGAAAGCAGAACTTTATTTTGAGGTTGATATGTTTTAGAAAATGTACACATATTTAAAAGCCTGTAACGAAGCTGCAGTTCATGTGTACGCAGGAAGGGGTGTGTGCGAGAGCTTCAGGTAAAGGTCACTGGATTATTAAAGGTGAGTTGTCAGACGCACAGTAGTGAGTGCCGGAAGAGAAGGGAAGCATTCTGGAAGTACGTCTGGAAACTGAAAGACTACTTCCTCCTGTCTTACACGTCTGTGTCTATGTGTCTCGTTGTATTTACTCAGTTTACTTATTTTAGTTGATGTCCGGAAGGGTCCATTTTCTAGAACGGTCTGACTGGTCCTTTTGTCTGCCCCGTCAGGTTGATCCAAAGCTGGTCATGGAGCAGGCTGACCGGGAGAGCAGCCGAGGAAAGAACACCTTTCTCTACCAGCTCCACAAACTGATTGTTCTCAGCACTTAGGTGTGCCGGCAGGTTGTAACCCAGCTCCTCCCGGGGAAACTGAGACCCGCCACACAGACAGGTGGATTAAAGGCTCCATCTGCAGACTGACTTCTCTCTGTATCTGAACGTTACAGTCTTTGCCCGCTGCATCCGAAAGGTCTTCTCCATCCCTCTTCCTCTTCCTATGTGGGTGGTGGCTGGAGAGTGGTGTTTCTGTTCAGGTGGGAAGGATTGGAAAGTCTAGTCTTTTCTAGAAACAGAGAATCACTGTGTTAAAGATTCTGGGAAAAACTGATGAAAGAAGACTTTGTTTGGAAAAAGAGCTGTGTTTTGCTTTAAATCTATTAAGGTAAATATAAATAGCTGAACATGTAAGGTTCCAGTATGTGCTAGTATGTTCTTTTTGTTACAGTGATTTAATCCTGGGATGTAGGGGGAACCAAGATCCCCAAACCTCAGTTTACCACAAAGGAGAGCTGCATGTTTCTCAAAACCATGTGGCACTTTCTGTTTTTTTTTTTCTGTGAGGGAAAATATTTAATTTTGGTAAAAGTAACTTCAGTTTTGTATATTTCACGTTTTTACCTACGTTACAATTGTAAGTCTAAATTTTGGAAATCAGATTACTTGGCAACTAGTATATTTATGTTAAAGCAATAAAAGCATTAGACTGAGTTTCTGTTTCTGACAGTTTTTAGTCAGAGGAGATTAAAATGTATTTCATTCATTTTTTTTTTTAACTTTTTAAATTTTTTTTTATTTTTTATTTATTTGCGAGAGAGAGAATGAGAGACAGAGAGCATGAGAGGGAGGAGGGTCAGAGGGAGAAGCAGACTCCCCGCCGAGCAGGGAGCCCGATGCGGGACTCGATCC